ATAAGCCGAAAAGGTTATCAAGGTGGCAATTAATGATCTTCAACCATTTTTTTGGATATATCTCCAAAAACAAACATCTTCATTTTTTTATTCAATGAAACTTACAAACGCAACATGGATCGAGCTTTCGCAGAGATGAATAATGCAAGCAAAAATTCTTACGCCTGTATTCTATCTAATATGATAGTGCTTCATCTACAGGCGGTGAAATTTCGAATTTATGATGTTTACCATTCTTCTTGTATTCACTGAAACAAAACTTGACCAAGGTTTTTTCATCGTCACTCAGCGATTTGTCTCCATCACTTTTAGCATCTTTTTGATCTTTTGTATTCAACCAAGTACTAGTGAATTTCAATGCACCGTCGATGTAGGAAAATCCGCCGCACGCAATACGACTTTGATCGTAATCAAGCCCCATGACATTTTTCAAAAGATAGTCATGATGAAGATCCTGCCCACATAGGTCGGACCATTGATCAGTGCATTGAATAATAATGTAGAAACTTCTTCCATTATAGCCACTTGCTTTGCCACCTTTCATCAAATAAAAAAACATCAATCGAATGAAACAGATCTCATACTAAAACATCATTCTCTCAGTTCGTTCATGCTAGACTCACCAGAATTTTTCCACTGGAAGTTTCCATCAATAGCATAAACAATGACACCAGCGTAATTGTGTGTTGGATCGAATTCATCACAATAGAACGATGTTTTGCACGTAACAGTGCCGAGTTCTCGTTTGATACGTTGATAAAGATTTTTAAAATCTAATTTGCCCATCTCTAATGGATCCAAGTTGAATATCAAATGAGAATATGACATTAAAATCATTTGAAACTCACTACTCTGATAAAAAGATCTTCGAGAAGAATAATTTAGCCGATCATTCGATAGAATGGAATACTAGAAAACGGTGCTTTCTTTGACAGAGAATAGCTGCTGATTTTCTTAGCACTGTGAATCAAGATCCTGTTAGGGTTTTTATCAAGGCGTTATATATTATGTCAAGGTAAAGAAACGTTGCGATCGGTATGGGCCATATGAGAGGTTTTACAGTGAGCTTAACTTCTTCGAATTTGTGTTCTGGAGTGGTGAAAGCGAGCCCGAAGATTAGGATGGAATTCAGGTGGGACTTGGGAAGTGCTGGTAGAGTTTAAAAGATTCTGGTGAGTAAGGTTGGTCCAAAAGAACTCTTTACGGTATGGTTAGGGTATCAAAGTTCGTACTCACGTAGGAACCTATTGTGGTATTGCACTTACAGAATAACCTGGTCCTGAAGTGATGAGTCATAGCTTACGGTCTACAATTTTGAATCTGCACACTGAAAAGAAATGGTACAATCACCGATTCTTTTATGAAACGAATTCGAAACTCTCAACAAAGTTTTATAACAATCTAAGGGAAACCGGAACGATGAGCACAAGGAACGATACGCACAGGAAAGTTAAGCGCAAATAAAATAAAAAAGTCTGGTCTCTTATAAAAGATCAATCAAAGTTGTGGGTGCCAGTGTGGGTATAGGTCTAGATGTGAGTGTGGGTGTGCAGGTGAGTGTGAGTTTGGGTCGATGTGGGTGTAGGTATGAATATGGGCTGGTGTGGCTGTAAATATTATATTTTTTTGTAACTAGCACATACATCCATACAAACCTCACTCATACCCAGACCTACACTCACACTCACCTCCACACCCACTCGTACACCTACACCTACACCTATACCCACATCCTCAAGACTTTTTTATTTTATTTGCGCTTAACTTTCCTGTGCTCATCGTTCCTTATGCTCATCGTTCACCAACTCCAGTCTAAGATATTCAGGCGGATTATTAACGACCTAGGAAACTTTTTTAAAGGTTTCATAGAGTTGCCACGAAACCTCTAAATAGATTTCGAATTCATTTCAATTCTCAAAACCTTTTGTAAGTCCAAAAACCCTCTTTGGTTTGGTAATCATACCATTTTTTTCCGCTAAAGCAAGTCAGTAAATGCATAAATATTAATTATTGTCTGAAAATCCATCGCTATGGGATTAATTCGATTAGGACGAGTTGAGGATGGGACTAGTTAAGAAACATACAGGACAAGTATAAGATGGATGAATTAGGATTCAGATGCGGGCTAAACCATGTGAATCGAAAACAGTTTTTAATTCATGACTTACCTTAAAAGAATTTTCTTTTATTGCAACACTAAATTTTTAAATTCTTATCTATCGTATCTTACTCTTTCTTTTTCGTTACTTTCTTATCGAAGACGTTATTGCACATGTATGATTCAGCCATTTCTTTATACGACTGCGTCAGTCAATGGAGATACTTCAAATTCACTATGACCGCGCATCGTCAGCGTTCTAATTGCTTGGAAATTTGCATGCCTACCTTCACCTCTACACTATAAAAAAGATCTATTAGTAAAGATTGTCTATCAACCGACTCCTTTTGCAAAAACACACCGACATGTAATCCGACATTCCCGCAGTCGCGAAGGGTAAATACTTGTGAACAATCATGAGTCTGGTTCCTTTCCACCAATTGCTCCTATTCTCTCTTATTGAAGTCAGCTGAGAGTTGAGCTAAATGACAAGACCTTTCTCTATATGATCTTATCAGTTTTTGTTTTCGTTTATTATGAAGCTAGACAAATCTTTATTTTAAGTATCAACAGAAATAAAATACAGATGAAGGAGTCTACTTGATATGCGATTGATGTGAAATATGTTTTTTTGTTTTCCTAGAGAGCAAAATCTAATTTAGCCAAGTTATCCTACTATTTAACATGGGGAAAACAAATTTTATTGATATGTATCAGAGAATCAAAAGAGAGCTTGGAACCATCACTTGTAAAACGTCCTTGTTTTGTGATAATTTTGATCCATTCCTTAATTATGCCGGGGCGATTATCTATGCAATTGATGGAAAATTTCAATGGAACAATAATGGTGAGTATATAACATGCGACTCTTGATAGAACTCTGTTTCGTGAAATGACCGTTTGTTCTTCTATTCATTTTTGAATAGAGGGTGGTAAAGCATTTGGTAGCAGGGGAAGAAGTTTCTATATCATCATACAATCGACGAATGATTGGCCAGAAGAATATCGCAAAGCAGCTGGACAAGGAGTAGTGCATGACTATTTATTGAGGAACGTCTTAGGCATTGACTACAATCAAGATCGCATTGCTTGCGGTGGGTTCGCCTATGTCAATGGAGAGCTCAAATTCAGCAGTGCCTGGCTCAATGGGAGAGACCAGATGGGTGCTAAAAGCGATGGAGACAAGATGCTGAGTGAACCAGAAAAGAAATTAGTCATTTATTGTTTCAACGAATATAAAAAACACGGTAAAAATTACACGTTCAAGATCACACCTTCAGTCGATCAATCACTACAAGCGTTTACAGTCCATAAACCACGACAAACGTCTTCAATCGAGCAGTCACGAGACTCACCGTCAGTCTACGGGTCGCAACAACCTGTTGGAAGACGTATTATACTGAATCAAGAGCAACAACAACAAGACAGAAGTGTGTCCTCATCAACTGACGTAAACGCAGTGGAATTGTCAATCATAAGCAACGACCGACACAGAGGTAGGAAAGTCAAATCCACTACTAGTTTCGTCTAATGTTGTATTGGCACTAACCATCATAAATTTTATCAGTTTTTATCATTTTTACCAACAGTATTTGTTGAAGGTATTTTACGGTAGAGAAATCAAGTGATTATATACGATGGATGTTGTATCATTTACAGCCATATGATCGTTTCTCCAATGCTAGAACTTCTAAAATACTAAATATTCCTAGGCAACATGGGTGAATGTACAATTCTAAATGCCCAAGATGGAAGCGTATAAAACGACAAATCGTCCCATCCTTAAACCAGTTAAAACCCATATGAAACGGTGCATATTGAGACAGCGAGCCTTTCTATGACAATTTCACGTCACTGTAGTGTTCATTCAACGACTCCTCGCGGACATTACTGCTCCAAACTTTTACCTTAAAATGGCGCCATATTTTGAAGAATATGGCTATAAATGTGTGTTGATATCGCGACAAAATAGTTTCATTCGAAAGAGAAAGCAATTCTTGAGTGTGGGTAGGTGTGTCTCTTCTCTTAGTTCACACCCACACCCACCCTCTATTTTATGGGTATCTCTGTAGACTAATTTCTATATGAGTTTGTGCAGAATTGCTTTCTCTTTCGAATGAGACTATTTTGTTGTGATATCAACTCAATTTATAGTCATATTCTTCAAAATATGGTTTCATTTCAAGCCAAAAATATACGGCAATAGTGCCAGCGAAGAATCGTTGAATGAGTACTTCAATGACTTGAAATTGTCATAGAAAGATTGGCCGTCTCATTCTGCATCTTTTCATATGGCTTTTTAACCGATTTAAGGATGGGTCAATGTGCTATCTTATACGCCCCGCCCTTTCGTCGAGCGACAACTATTGAAGATTCGAAGAACGCATATTTAGGTTGCATTAAATGTCTGATTATTCTGCCGCATTTCAACATGAGAGCCATACAAGCCGAGCATTGTCCTTCTCAGGACACTGAGGATCCGTATGTAATCTATGAGGAAAATAAAAGTCATACCCACACTCTACAGTAGAAAGGCCTGAATACGAGAAACACTTTTCCTGTTGTACGAAGGCAATTTTCTTGAATAGTTTTGTGAGCGATATGGTAAACTACGAAGTTAAGTGAAAATAATGACATGAATGAGAAGTCGCATATGAGAATAAAAGCTTTGTGGCACTGCAACTTCTTCATAATATTCAGAATGTAGCATATGATTTCTGGTGCTCACAAAGCGTTTTGTAGACGATTAAGTCGAAAATGCTAATGTAAACAAGTTCAATCAAACAAGACGGAGCAACCCAAGTGAGTAAGCTTTCCACTATATACCCAAATTCTGTTGAATATAGTGCATATATTTACTCGGTAATCTTGTAAGAATTCTCATTTTAAAGACCGTAGTAGCATGCGCAATTTGGCTTCCATCCGTTACGAAGACTCATCAAACGAAAACTGCCGCGGAAGGTTATGGATTGTATTAGGCGGTCTCTATGTAATTATACTTTGTGGCGGCATACTTGCAGCTGTTATATTATCATTAGCGTTACCTGGTACAAAAAAGAATGTAGGTCTGTATCAACCGCGTTTATGTAGTATATTTTTGTATTTACAACTGTACAGGTCCGAGGATTGGAAACGGAATCACTGTTGCTGGTGGCAATCGTAAGGGATCACTCCCTGATCAGCTAAATGACCCACATGGTTTCTTTGTTGATAACCAAAGTAACATTTATGTTGCCGATACGAACAACCATCGTATTGTACAATGGTTGCCGGATGCAAAGTATGGCATCATTGTGGCAGGAGGAAACGGACCAGGATCAAAGCAGAACCAATTACGTTATCCATCAGATATATGGATAGACAGATACAATAATATGTATATCGCTGATCCTGGTAACAGACGTGTTCAGCTATGGACCAGTGGCGCAACTAGCGGACAGACGGTTTTTAATGTAACCGATGGTTGGAGCTCAAGCGATTATTACAGTCTATATGTAGATGAAGTGAATCAAGAAATTTACATAGCCGCTCGTTCGGCAGGCCAGATTTTCAGGTACACACTTGGAAGTAGAATGGGAGTATTGGTTGCAGATGGATTCGGTCGAGGAAACGGATCCCACCAATTTAATTATCAGCGCAGGTTTACTGTTGATCGCCAAGGGAAAATTTATGTTGCCGATAAATTTAACCACCGTATTCAGAAATGGTCAAGGATTTACTCTACGACTCAAACTATTCCGACAGCTAAAGTCGAGACTATCGCGGGCATTACCGGTAAAAATGGATCAAATTTAAATCAACTCTATAATCCAACAGATGTCATATTAGACTTGTTAGCTAAAAATATCTATATAGCAGACTACGGCAATGCACGTGTAATAAGATTACCCGCGAATCTAGCTGATAGTAAACGAGAAGGCGTCGTTGTACTAAATCCAATATCCGTCAACGGTAACATAGTCTTAATGGATCGAATTCGACTGAGCAACAACGAAAATCACATTTATATTCTCGATAGAGCAAATAATCGAGTTATCAAAGCTACCAATGGTGTCAGAAATCTTTCAAAATCAGTCTTGCTATTGATAATATTATTGTACGTATAAGAAAATCTCTATAAACGCAAGACATTTACCATTTTTCTTTATGTTTAGATGCTTCCATATGATAATGAACTGTTCAATGAAATAATGTGGTGATTAACAATGTCAAACTATCAATAATCCTAAGATGTCTATTAATTTGAAAGAAGAATCTAATTTGATGTAGTTTCTTATTAAATAATTTATTTTCAGAAATTTTCGATCATTTTCAACCTTTAAGGGTGTGGTGTAAGTTTCGACTTGATCTCACAACTAAGCTCACCCCCACACACAGACGCCCTAATATCCAGCTAGGGTGAGTGTTTGTGTAATGTCGATGTAGTTTGGCTGACAGTATGCATGTGTGAAGGTGGGAGTGTGGTTGAAGGACAGACAGCCAGTACCACATCCACGCCAAGCCTTAAGGCATTTAGATCATAAAAATTTGTTGAATCTAGGGAATATGGTGCTCGATCTAATTCTAGCTCGCAAATGAATGTAACTTATTGAGTTAAGTATTCTTAAAGACCATAAGAAAGCCTTCGAGCACAATATATAATATTTGACATAGTCTGTCCCTGTAAGTACTAGACAAATAAAATTCATAGAATGCTATCCTAAATTTATTTTATCAAACATCCGATGTAAACTAAAAAAACGATTGGTTTTAATTGTAAGTACACTGTAAACTAAAAAGCAATTTATAGAGAAAAAAGCAGTACTTTAGGAGCGCATATGTATTTACGAAACAATTTCTACTTTCTTGAAAATACGATATTTAAAGAATAAAAATTACAAATTCGATTTTTTTTAAAGTCAGTCGGAACCTATTTTAGAAAATCTTCATATAGTTTCTGTTCTCAAAAGAAAACCCATGCAATAAAATAAATAAATAATTTCAGTTTCAATATGTACAAAACAGATTGACTTATATATATGGTAAAACACTGACGAGGAACACTATTTAGGTGGTACACTCCGATTTCAATCATTCATATGCCATATGATAGACTATAGTGAGGTAGTCAACCGCTGGAAATATTATCGGCCACCAGCTCTTTCTTGAGATACTATAGTCACTTTAGTGAAATTTTAGCCTATGATATGGTAGCTAGCACAAAGTTGAATATCGATATTTCGATCGGAAACTTTGTCAATAGGTAGGTCTAGCTATAACTAAACTGTCCTAAAAAATTCAGCTTAAAAGAACATACCATTCATGAGATATTACATTCTCAAAAAAAGCATAACATTCTATAGTGTTTCCTTAACGTACGACTAATTCTGTGAGTATCATATCTCACGAAGAGAATGTTCTTTTGAGCTGAATTTTTTAAGACAGTCTAGTTATAGCTAGACCTACCTATGGACAAAGTTTCCGATCGAAATATCGATATTCAACTTTGTGCTAGCTACCATATCATAGGCTAAAATTTCACTAAAATGACTATAGTATCTCAAGAAAGAGCTGGTGGCCGATAATATTTCTAGCGGTTGACTACCTCACTATAGTCTATCATATGGCATATGAATGATTGAAATCGGAGTGTACCACCTAAATAGTGTTCCTCGTGAGTCTATAGCAGTTCTTGTCTAAAATGATTTTCTAATAAGTACAGTGTGGGGTGCCGGCGCGAGTGTTAAAGAAGAAGAGAAACTCACATCCACACCCAAATCTTTTGGAAGAATATAAAAACAATTTAATCAGTTCGTATACAATCATGAACGCTCATGATATTAATATTTAGTAGCTGCAATATTCTTACAGCTATCTTGTAAACTACAAAGAAAATTTATTAGAAATTCTAACATTGATGTATAATTTTTAACTAAATTACATGAAATAAAGAGAATAGACAGTTTTCGTTTCCAACGAAGATTAAATGTTGAACGTATTGAATTAATATTCAAAATCGTCATCTATTATATTTTGTTATTGAAGCATTATTTTAGAATTCTATACAATAAAAAAAAAGCTTACGACACTCGGTATTCCCAGGCGGTCACCCATCCAAGTACTAACCGAGCCCGACGTTGCTTAACTTCAGTGATCGGACGAGAACTGGTGTGTTCAACGTGGTATGGCTGTAAGCATTTATCATAAATATTTTCTATGTATTTCTATTTACTATAAAATACGTGCACTATCATTTCGATTCGATAATGTAACAAGAATTTTTCATAGTAATGAACATATTTCAATATGAATAGATAATTGTAGAAGTTTATTTGCAGGATGATGTTGAAATTGTATTTGTCTATGATTACAATTTAATATTAATATGATTTCCTCACCTGTTTTTATAATTTTATCTGTATTAGTATATTGTTCTTTACTATTCATAATAATCCATTCAAATCTTCGCTCTCCATAAATAGATGGTGAATGTAAAATCCATGGTATAATCTGTTGTGAAGATGTTAAAATACCAAGAAAAGATTATTAATAGTTTGATTTTTTATAGATTGATCTATTAACTGACGAAGTTCTTTTATTTGTTGAAACCATTTTATAAAATCAATTTCTGTATAATTATCTAATTGTTGACTTAAGTTTAATTCTTCACCAATTTTATTCATTGACAATATGATTTCATTTTGATGCTTCAAGCATTCATATATATACTAAACATGGATGAATATTTTTTTCTCGAATTAAATCTCGTCAAAGAAGATCATATTCTCGTCCAATATTATCCATTTGTATATTAAAATCATCACGATGATTTGAAATATGTTTTTCACAAAATGATTGTTGACATCCAGAATATATTACAAAACCACTATCTTTATTACATTTAACAAGATGAAATCAACTGAATATATTCATTCTACATTTTAGTTTTTAACGAAAGCAAATAGAGACAACAATATGTTTTTTATTTGGTTGTAAAATCGAAATAAAACAACACAAGAAGAAAAAAAGCAATAATAAATCTATATTAATGATTTATGACAAGATTTAAAAAATTATTTAACTAATTTTCTTTATTGCCGAAAAAAAACAAATAATATTCTATAATAAATTATTTCCGGTTATATTCCATACTTATCATCGATGTATGTTCATGCAATTTAGGAAAATTATTGTTGACATCCGATTCTTAATATAAAAATCTATTTAGTCGTGCAGAAGAAAAGGAAGAGAAGAGGAAGAAAAATAAGAATGAGTATAGATTAGACAACAACTATCAACTACATACAATGACAGTAGTTTATATATATTGATAACGATAAAATAACAATGAACAATATGAACTATGTCATTATTTTTTCAATAATAATAATATTTAAATTTGAATGGATTCATAATTCATATGTATCATCCGATTTAAAAAATGTTTCAGCAATTCTTGATGATCTTTTAAAATCTTATGATCGTTATCATCGACCAACATATGGAGGTATGCATATTATAGAAAATATTAATTTCTACCATATTTTTGTATAGGTGAACCTGATAAAATTATTGTTAATATCTATGTTCGTAGTATGAGTGGTATAAGTGAACTTGATATGGAATATTCATTTGATTGTTTTTTTCGACAACGATGGACTGATACTCGTCTTATCTATAATACAACATCCGTAATGAATTATACATCATTACCAGTCAGTTTTCAAATGTTTTCAAAAATTTGGAAACCTGATACATATTTTTATAATGGACAACGATCGTATATTCATTCTGTACCTCATGTTAATCGATTTTTTCGTATTGCAACTGATGGTACTATACTTTATTCACAACGGTTAATAAAAATAATAATGATTTTTCTAAATGAATTGAATTTATTTTAGTTTAACAATTCGAGCTTCATGTATAATGAATCTTCGAAATTTACCACTTGATACACAACATTGTACATTATTAATTGGTAGTTTTGCTTATAATAGTGAAGAAACAATCTATGAATGGAGTAATAAGACTGCTGTTGATTTACAAAATAATTTAATTATGAATCAATTTTCATTAATTGATGCAAGTGTCGGTTCACGAATACTAATTAGAGAAAATCGTAAGTTTCAAAATCTCTCTCCTTATCGAAAATTTCAAGAACAGAAATAATTCAATTAAATCATAATTTTATTTTTGTTCGGAGATAATCGATTTTATTAGTTTAAAAAATTAGCATAACTAAAAAGAACAATAAAATTATTTTTCTAGGTACTCGATCAATAATATATGTTGTATTTGCATTTCGTCGTCATGTAGGTTATTTTCTACTTCAATTATATATACCATGTGTACTAATTGTCTTTTTATCATGGGTTGGCCTTTGGTTAAATCGTGAAGCAACAAATGATCGTATTAATTTAGGTGTAACAACTATCTTAACACTTATATTCGTTATAATTGAAGGAAAAAAAGATTTACCAAAAGTTCCATATATAACAGCACTTGATTGTTTCTTAGCTGTATGTTTTATATTTGTTTTTTCAACATTATTCGAATTTGCAATTGTTCATTATTATACAAAAGCACGAACAGGTGATCTCAATGAAAATATGCGTGATTTAGAAGATTATGTTATTCGAGTAATACAATAAAAATACAAATTTTTTTATCTCTTTTTTTTTCTCTTTTCTATAGGATGATGGTACAAATGCGGATGAACATGATATTAGTCGTAATGATGTTCATTTAGTATATCGACCATCATTAGCACCAACACCATCCATAAATAGTAGAACATCAGAAAAGAAATCGTACAAATGTTATCGAAATATTCGTTGTAAACCAGCCTATTCAGCATTTCAAGGACGAGCTTTAAAAAATATTTTTTATTCAAATAGCGAAAGTAAAATTGATATTTTTTCACGAACTATGTATCCCGTAGCTTTTTTTATATTTAATTTTATTTATTGGGCCTATTATTTACATGCTAGTCAACAACAATCAAAAGGCGAAAAAGAATAAATATTTTTTGTCATTAGAAAATATAAGAATTTCATATTCATCATGTGATTTAATTTTTAATAGAAAAAAATATGTTGTTTGAATATCATGTCGCGAGCTTAGTGTCTTTAATCTCATAAACTTTTAATAGAATCTTAGAAAATGAGTGCATGTCTATTATCTCATACATGGTAACAGGAAATAATAATGTCTATAAATATAAATGAAAATCAAGATTCACTAATGTTATTTGAGAAAAATATCTAATCTAGACAAGATATTTTATATCAACAGTCTCAAAACATATATATATACTTTTCAAATTAAAGACAGCACTTTCATACAATGTCCTATGATGAAAATGATTCGTTATCGATTTCAATTCTTAATGGAACAACTAATGCTACAAATCCTACACAGGCTGTTTTGATTGCGTTTCAAATAGGTCGTACAATATCTTGTCTTTGTATAGTCGGTGGTATTCTTGGTAATATAACACTTATTTTCACAATTAGTCGTTCATCATTTTTATACTTTCCTTATGGTCTTTTACTTTTATTTATTTCAACATTCGATATAATTCGTCTTATATCAACAATAATTTATTATTTACTGCAAGGAAATATAATTCCATTAACATTATCAACTTTAACAATCTATGTAACATTATATCGTTATCCAAAAAATGTTACAAATTGGTTAAAAGTATTTTTAGCAATTGAAAGATTTATTGCTGTTAAATATTGGATTAAAAATCGTTATAATATTCATTCAAATCATGCCAAAACACTCAATCGTTTACGACAACGAAAACTTCTATTAATAATTCTTATTTTACTTCTATGTAGTTTAATAAGTCAACATCCAAATTTGATTCCATATCGTTTTATATCAACACGTATTGATCCATTACGTTTACTTATTGTTAATAAACCTAATCCAAATTTTTATTATGCTAATCATTTATTTAATGGTATTTTATTTACTATAATTAGTTATATTATACTTGATGATCTCTTACCAATTATAATATTAATTATCTGTAATACATGTCTTCTATATCAAATAAGACGTTTACCAACAATCACAAGTAAAAAATTAGCTGATTCAATATATATCCTATTTTTTCTAACAATATTTTCAATATTTATTATACCAAGATCATTTCTAGTTGTCTTTAATTTATATACAAATCCCGAATATATTAATGATACGATTATTTCAGTCGTATTTCATTCATTTCAAGGTATGTCTATATATAATAAGAATTTTAATTTTATGTTTTCTTCTTTAGGTCTTGAAATGATTAATAGTGCAATTACGGGTTATACATGTTTTTTAAGTTGTCGTGCATTACGTAAAGATTTAATACGAAATCTTCAAATAATATTTCATCGAAATAACAATGTATTAAAATCATCTATAATTGAATTAAAAACTGTATCACAAGAACGTTCATAATCTTTAAATAAATAAAAATTTTGTTATCTTTTTGTCCAGTTATAAGTATCAATTTCCTATTAAAGAGAAAAAAAAGGTCAGATATTGTTATCTATATTATATATCAAACGTGTTGCTCTTTGAAAAAAAAAGGATGAATATATATATATATATATCGATAATAAAGATTTGTTTTGTTCTCACGGAAATATGAATCAAAATAAGGTAGTTTATACTGGATTAGGTCTTGTTATTGCAATTGTTTTATTTATTGGTGGAATTCTTATCGGTCGTTTTGCTATTCCAAGACCAGCAAATACGATTGATATATCAACAGAAATTAAACATTCTGAAGAAGAATATATAAGTATATGGAATAATTTCAAACAACAATTTCTTGATTCAATTAGTGCACAAGAAATTGAAAGTAATCTTCGGTTAGTAACTATCATTTATTGATATTAACATAGAGCTATGTAAATTACTATAGAGATTATGCTAAAAAAACTCATTTAGCTGGAACAGATGATGATCGTCTTGAAGCGGAATCCATTGCTGGTAAATGGCGTGGACATGGATTAGATGTAACTATTCATCCATATGCTGTATTACTCTCATATCCAGATCCAATTCAACCAAATATGTGAATATTTCTGTTTGAATTGAAATTTTATATATGATTTTCGTATTTGAAGTGTATCAATTTTTGATCCAAATAATAATTTAATATTTCAATCAAATGGAAGTGAATCTATATTTAATGAAGATGATAAATCATTACCATTTCATAAGATAATTCGACCATTTCTTGCTTATACAACAAATGGAACTGCACGAAGTCAAAAATTATTTTATGTTAATTTTTGTACAATGGATGATTTTCGTTTTCTTGAAACTGTTTTAAATAAAGATGAATTAAATAATAGTATTGTTATTTGTCGATATGGGAAAATTTTTCGTGGAAATAAAGTAAATATGATCAATAATAAAAGTTGCCTTTTTTATTCACAATTTTAATTAGATTAGTAATGCTGAAAAATATGGTATTATTGGAGTTATATTATATAGTGATCCAATTAACGTTGCACTAAGTCCAAATATATCTAATTTGACTTATCCAAATTCTATCTATATGCCTGACATGGGACAACAACGTGGTTCAGCATTGGCTCTATCTGGAGATCCATTAACACCACATTATCCTTCTAAAGGTAGTTATCTGAATTTAATATTAATATAAATATAATATTCATTTTAGATTATATGTTTAGAACACCAATAGATAATAATCCTCATTTACCAAAGATTGTTGCTCAACAAATCGGTTATAAAGAAGCGAGAGAAATATTAACGTAGGTTATATTAAATGACAATTGTCAATTAAAGTTAAATATTTTAGTCAAATGACTGGAACATCTGTTATATCGAATTGGACTGGTGGTTTTCATGAAGTGAGATATGTTTATGGTGGTTTTCTATCAGATAATTTGTAAATAGAATTGATGATTTTTTGAAACTGAATTAATCTCAAAGTATAATGATAGGTCTATACAAATATCATCATATAATACATTACAAATACGACGTGTACATAATGTAATTGGAACTATCACTGGTCATATTGAACCGGGTATTTGTTAAGATTTTAAATTATTTTAAGTTAACGATCGATTTATTTTAGATCGTTATGTACTTATTGGAGCTCATTTTGATGCTTGGAATTTTGGTGCTCAGGATGATGGATCGGGTACAGCTGTTAATCATGAATTAGTGCGTGCATTTGGATCATTAATGAAATCGAGTATGTTATTTCAAAGTATTAAGAATATTTATTATCTCTTTATATTTAGACTGGAAACCGAGACGAAGTTTAATGTTTTGTGCTTGGGCTGCTGAGGTACTATAATTGAAAGAAAATAAAAAAGAAATTATCTGTTTTTAGGAGTATGGTGTTGTTGGATCGCTTGAGTTTGTCGAAGTAATGAAAATTGATATATTAATATTATTCTTAAACTAAATTCTTATCTATTTAACAAGGAATATGCTAAAATCTTAGGTTCACGTGTTGTTTCATATATTAATATGGATAGTATTGTCAGAGGTAATATATATATATATATGTATTGATATTTATTCTATTCTCATACAGGTAATCAATTCATGTTAATGAGAATGTCTCCATTACTTTATGATTTTTCTATTGATATATCTAAACAAGTATGAATGATTCTTTTTATTTTTGAAAAATGAAATCTATCATTTAATGGAAGGTCAAAGCACCTTATACCAATGAAACAATTTATGAACAATGGATACGTCATAATAATGGTGAGAAAGATATTGGGAAAAAGTATTTGTAAGTTATTTTAAAAGAGAAATTAAATTTTTATTAATGTGTTCATAGTGAAATGGGACTTGGTGCTAGTTCAGATTTTGATGGTTTTAATCAAATTGCTTCAAGTTCAAATCTTGTTGTGATTTATAGAAATCAAGTTAGATTTTCTTTTATAAAACTAGATATTTTTAAAAGATTTTTTTGTTAGTCTATTAACAAAAATTTGGATTCCAGTCCATTATATCATACTCAATATGAAACATTTCGATTAGTTAAAGAATTTATTGATCCTGAATTTCAAGTGAGTTAAATGCTGATAGAGAATAGAATATGTTTTGTTTTTTTGTGTATAGACTCATCAAGCGATTGCACGAGTTATTGGTTTAGCAGCATTGACTCTAACTGATATTGATTTACTTCCATTCAATCCTGAAAGATACCATCAAGCACTTGTTGATTTATTTACTTTAACAAAATCTGTTGCACCTCAATCGATTAATTTTAGTAAGTATACATAAATTTTTTCTACTAATCTTTGATAAATATTAGCATCACTACAAAATGCAATCGATCAATTTAAAAATGTTGCTACTCAATTCAACTATCGAGTTCAAACTACACTTGATAAATCAAAGTTAGTTTATTATATTAGATCTCATTTCTGAGATTTAAAATACTTATTTTAGTCCAATACAACTTCGAATAGTTAATGATCAATTGATGCAAGTGGAACGAGCATTTCAAAATCCATTAGGTAATAGTATTGAACAATCTACTCTCAAGTAAGTTATTCATTAATACCTATTGCAATCTTCTATTAATATTATTTCATATATAGACATACAATTTATGCAC